TTTAATTTTTTTTTTTAACGTTTATTTATTTTTGAGACAGAGAGAGACAGAGCATGAACAGGGGAGGGTCAGAGAGAGGGAGACACAGAATCTGAAATAGGCTCCAGGCTCTGAGCTTTCAGCACAGAGCCCGACGCGGGGCCTGAACTCACGGACTGCGAGATCATGACCTGAGCCGAAGTCGGCCGCTTAACCGACTGAGCCACCCAGGCGCCCCTAGGCTGAGAGTTTTCTAACTGGCTCTGTGGGGCCCTGGGATCCCTCTGTGACCACTTTGGGGACTAGGGGGTGCAGAAAATGGAGCCTCCCCGCTGTCCACCCCAGACACTCCCAGCTTCCAGTCACTTTATTCTAGATTTGGAGTTCCACATCATAATTTATTTGGGAAAAAAAAAAACCTTTTTTTTTTTTTGATGAAAGAAAAACAGTTTGAAAACTGCCAACATACTCCAACCCCCTCAATTTGGGGGTTGGGAAAATCCAGGTCCAGCAGAGGGAAGTGGCTTACCCAAGGCCACAGGCCAGGTCCTGAAGCACAGAAGCGAGGCCAGAAAGGAGAGCCGCTCCCACTGACTCCAGCACTTTCCATCATGCCCACCCTCCGTGGCACTAGTCTATGTTCCTTTTCTCCCACAGGTTGACCCCCTACGAGTGGTACAGCCCCCACCCCTGTGCCCAAGGCCGGTGCAACCTCCTGGTGAATCAGTACTCCCTTGGCAACAGCCTCTGGTTTCCTGTTGGGGGATTCATGCAGCAGGGGTCCACCATCGCCCCCCGAGCCTTATCCACCCGCTGTGTCAGTGGCGTCTGGTAAGATCCGGGGCAGAGAAGGGGCCAGGCCCAGTGGGGTGGGGACACCAAGGGAGTCCTCAGATAAGCCCTGCTCTGGCTGCGGGTAGGCAGGAACCTCACAGAGAGCTCTGCCTTTCAAAACAGATTAGCAGGGAGCTGGGTTGCATTCCGCCAGCTCAGAAGGCCTGGGAGCACCGGGTTGGGCACACTTTGTGCCATCTTATCTGGTTCCTCTTTCCGTCTGCCTCAGAGGTCTGGATATAGAGGGGAGCCAGGGCAGGAAAGGAGATGCAGAAAACAGCCGTGTAAGGCCCACGGCAAAGCGATTGTAACTTGCTGACCTGAAAATGACCTGAGGTTGGGTGGCTGGGCCTGCCAAGGCATATGCAGATTTATGCAAATGTGAGTGTGAAACAGGGCTTGGCTGCTGGAAGAATTCAAACCTGGCTGTCACATCTCTCCTCCTCTACCAGCTTTCTCCAACTTTGTCCCTCTGCGCCCGGCTCTGGGGTCTTGCCTGACCTGTCCACCTCGGCAGGTGTGGGGAAAGGCAAATTCTTAGTGGCTCAGAGCCGGACGGGACCTCAGGAGCCGTCCACACAGGCAGTCCGCCAGCCTCAGCCTGAAACTCCCTTCTCCTCTTGGCTCGTTCAGGGCGAAAAGAATACGGTCGAATGATTCGATGCATGGAAACGCAATTTGCAAACTTGAAAATGATACATAAATGTGTGGACTCATAGCTGCTATTTGAGCATTATGGGGGGAAATGAAACAGACATACGTGTGTGTGTGTGTGTGTGTGTGTGTGTGTGCGTGTAGCACCGAGAGGCACATTTGCAGAGTACCGGTTCCCCACCCTCACGTAAAAACCCGCTGTCGGGTTTGGCTGTCACAGCCTATAGGACTTCCAACCCTGGTTCTCTCCCCTCCTTCTCAGCCTGTGTAAACCAAAGGAAAAGTGGCGTTTTCACCCTTGGACACCAGTGCCTGGACATTTACCAGAACCACTGGACTAGAGCTGATGGAGAGGTGAAAACGCAGCTGGGATTTTTGTTTTCTCTGCTAAATGATAAATACAGTAGGATTTAAAACATCTGGGCAAGATGCTCACCCGTTACCAGATTGTGCCCAGAAATCACCAAGTGGATCAACGGGGACAACCCGGTTTAACATTCCACTGGGAAAAAGGGGCGGTCTTGGCAGGGAAAATCACAGAGTTCCCTCAAAATCCTGGAAATCTGGACAGAAGCCCTGCAGACAAGAGGTCAGCTGCAGGCTCTGATCTCTTTCTACCTGGGGCTTTGCCTTCCAGAGGGGGGTGTTCCCATGCACTGCACGTAGGGCCCCATTGTCAGGTTCATCCACCTGTCAGATCCCTGACCCCCAGGACTTCCCTCCTGCGGACAACGTCTGCCTGAGCGCTTGGGAGGGCCACCAGTCTTGCAGGCTGTGCCGCGCTGGCCCACAGGGTCGCCAGTACTTTAAATAGCTGTCCTCGGGGAGCTCCATTACGCCACTCCTGAGGGTGTGTGGGAAGGGGGGGGGGTGCCTGAGTTGTTAGGGAGCCCCTCTGCCTCTCAGAGTTCTGAGTTATCAAATCAAGGTCTCAGTTTGGTCAGTTCCCTGCAGGAATGTGAGGTCAGAAGACAGGGCCATCGCAGCCTCCCTTAGAGTCCTCACCCAGAGCAAGTGACGGAAAATACCACGTTGCTAACAAGAATGCCAACTTTGCAACCAGTGATGCCCCTTTCACACGGGAGCAGGGGTCCCCTGACCCCTCTGGCGAGAGTGTGTGATTTGCTTCCTCAGCAGAGAAGATAGGCTTGCCCTGAGCGACTTTGTTCTCTGACCCATTCCCTTGTGACCAGTGGCATAAAGAGACACATGGCCATCCAGGGTGGAACAGACGCTGGAGTGTAGCCGTGGGGCTGAGGGAACTTCCCCAGCCAACTCTGAGGTCAAGGCCACACCCAGGGCTCACTAACTCACGGCACTAGCCAGGGCACAAACAGCGTCAGAATGCTAGCCTCCACCTAGGCATGGATCACCCCACCTCCCTGGCCTCCTCTGGGGGATGGTCATGAGAAAGAACTTCCAGCAGCGTGTATGAGCTGAGGCAGCGACAAGGAAGGCAGGTCTTAGGAATGGATGGACGCCGGGTACTTATAGGTCACAAATAGGGACGTTGACCAGCTGGTCGTCATCCCATGTTCGGTGTAACAGTCTATCCCTGCATTTCTCTGTATCTCACATTCATCTGGTCCTTTACAGATTATTAGTCACCAATCGTTTGATCTCACAGTTCTCCAAAGGCACGCAGAGCAGGCGTTATTCTCCCTGAGCAGGCAAGCTCAGAGGAGGAATGTGGCTTTTCCCCTAAGGTCTCACAGGGGGAGGGCCAGAACTAAACCAGCTCATCTCACTGGTGGTCTGGCATACGGATGCACCCACTGAGTCGGCAGATGCCCCTGTCACTTCACATCTGGGAGGCCGCCAGCAGGGGTCCTTGGACACAGAGGCCAAGGAGACAATGGGACTTCCCACTCTTAAAAGTCTCCTGGAAGCTGCTGGCCTCTGAATCCTGTGGCAAACGCTACGCTTTAGTTGGCAATGTCTTCATAATGACTAAAGCCTCATTAATTCAGACTCCACTAATTCCGAATTTGTGATTATCCAGCCTCACTTGTGCTTGGATATGTCTTTGAATTCCCATAAACAAATGGATTGGGATGCAGATCCACACTGCTGACCAGATGGCAGAGGGCTTATTTAACCTACTTAAGTGAACAAACTAGTTTTAACGCCTTTAACATGTATACCGCCTGACTTGCAAAATTATTCTAATTTTAAATGAGTTTGCTCTACCCAATAAAACACTCTTCTGTTTTGAAATAGCTTGCCCATTGTAAGGGTAGTTTCTAATTCCAGCTTCTTAGCACTTCAAAGGTGCCTGTCACCAGTTAACCTCAAAGGGTTTCTGGTTTTGTAGGACTGGTTTTAAAATATGGATGTATCACTGTGTTACTTGGCAAGTTTCTCATCAGCAAAATTGGGATAAGAATTTTGCCTCCCTTCGTTGTAGGGGGTACATGAGATCGTGTCTGTGGCTCAGGGCAGGTGCTCAGTACACGGTTGATGCTCATCTGATGGTTGACCGCATCATGAGAGGACAGGGGCAGCCGACCAAGCTCGGGTTCTAAACAGAGCCCCCAGAGCCGGCACCCTTAGCTCATTCCCTATCTCATTTCTCATGGTCTTCTGGACGGTCTCATGTGCATGGACACACCTCTTTTGAATAGCAACCCAAGAACCAACTCCTTTTGGAAATAAGAAAAAAAAAAAATTAATGGTCTCCCAAGCAACCTCACACACCCGATTCATTTCTGTTGACATCATATGCCCTGCCTCCTTTCTCTTCCCCCACCGACCCCGACTGAGCTGGGAGCTCCTTCCAAAGAGGGACACCTGGTCTCTCCTATGTCGCAGCAGGACTGGGGACGGGGGCTAAGACTCCTGGGTGTGCCTGGGCAACGATGACTTCCTGGTCTTTTCCTACATAGGTGGGCATTCACGCTGATCATCATCTCATCCTACACGGCCAACCTAGCAGCCTTCCTGACTGTGCAACGCATGGATGTGCCCATTGAGTCAGTGGATGACCTGGCTGACCAGACCGCCATTGAGTATGGCACAATTCACGGAGGCTCCAGCATGACCTTCTTCCAAGTAAACCCATTTGGTTGCTCACCAACATGGGGAATTGGGCAGGATAAAGTTGAGATGTTTGTCCTCTGGAGATAAAAACATCAATCCTCATCCCATTATCTCTTTTGAACATCTAGTTTGGAGATTCACTTGGGGCTCGTTTTTCCCCCCCTTCTGCAAAATACCCCTGGAATGAGGTCCCCAAAGCACTTTGGGGTTAATTTCAGCCTCCCAAAGTGTTGTGCAAGAACCGTTAGTGGGAGTCGAGATGCTTTTAAGCATAACGTGTTGAAACTATCTTTGAATGGCAATAGTTTCGTATTTGTTTTAGTGGAGATTAGAAAAATACCCGTAAATGCAGCGAATCTAACCTGTACTTTTATTTCTACTACTGCATAGGTTGAGGCTAATGTATACATTTAAGTTTGGTTAAGTGGGTTAAATTTTATCGGCAGTACTTACGTAAAGCAAGTTTAGAACACTACACGAATGTCTGAAGTATAAGGAACACGAAGATGAGTATGAACTGATTGCATATATCCCAAACTAGACAGGTGTCAGATCGGGACCCTGTTGGCTTTGAGGTTTCCTTGCAAGGCTCTGGAGAAGACCTTGCCGCAGTTGTGTATTAGCCAACAAACCAAGTGACTGATCACCAAGACTGGCAGATCTGGGCCAGACAAGAGGAGCAGTTTTCGTATGCTTCGGGATCTCTAAGAAAGCAGACTTACCCTGCAGTTAATAGGTGTCTAACCAACCTACCGCCCAAGAAGTCCGTTTTCACAGGACACAGGTCCAAGGCCTCCAGTTTTCTGTTTCCTAGACAGCCTCAGTGTCTATTGGCCCCATAACCACTGAAGGCATCATGCAAACCCAGGTGTGGATAGACCCCCAGAATTCTCTCGACCTTGTTCTTATTTGTAAAAGAGAAGCCAGTCCTGGATATGTGATTGACAAGTTGGTTTAGGATCAACAGAAAATAGCCAGCATTCTTCCTTCAGATGGTGTCTTTAGACGTCCTGATGAACCTGAATCCACCACCTCCAGCCTGAAGGACAGCAAAGGATAGTTCCAGAATTTCCATTCTTAATTCTATCAGAACATGGAGGTTGGCAGTGGTAGACCTCTCAAGGGTAGATGGGGCAAAACCAATGATCAAACCAGTAGACAGAGTTTATAGTGCCTTAGGACCCTGTTCTTTCCTTGCTTTTCTGTAAAAGTTTATCGTAGGCACAATCCCCGCCTCCTGCCATGATGCGGTGGCAGTTGAGAGATGAAAAGGGAAAAGATTATTGAATATAATGAGGGGGTTGAGTAATAAAGGGGCCAGGATTTTAAGGTCTACTTTGATTCCCTCCCTTTTAAAACCACCATTTCCTGGGGTGACTGGGTGGCTCAGGTGGTCGAGTGTCCAACTCTGGATTTTGGCTCAGGTCATGATCTCCCAGTTTGTGAGCGCGAGCCCCACATCAGGCTCCACGCTGACAACGTGCCCAAGATTTCCTTCCTCTTTTCCTAAGCCTGCTTCCGTGTGTTCTTTTCCCAGAATTCCCGCTATCAGACCTACCAGCGCATGTGGAATTACATGTATTCTAAGCAGCCAAGTGTGTTTGTGAAGAGCACAGAGGAGGGGATCGCCAGGGTGTTGAATTCCAACTACGCCTTCCTTCTGGAATCTACCATGAATGAGTACTACCGGCAGCGAAACTGCAACCTCACTCAGATTGGGGGCCTGCTGGACACCAAGGGCTATGGGATTGGCATGCCAGTCGGTATGCAGGAGAGGACCAGCCTCTTTGGGTAGCTCCATCCAGGCAGGGTCAGAGTAGCTAGGACCACTGAATGCAACATTGAATTTGACAACCCCGTTCTAGAACCACTTAACAGGGACTTTAGGTGGGCATTTTCCAGGTTAAAAAAATAATAAGCAAACCCCCATACTTCCACTAATCAGTGATCAGTTCTCAATCTTTAGTTATTGAAGGGCTAGCTATCGATTTGTTAGTAGTTGATGAATTACTAAAGGGCAGGTTGATGCCCTCGGTGGATTCTTTAGGGCTTTTCTTCTCCCTCCTCCTGCTTCCTGCCCTTTGACCATATCCCTTTTGATGGTCTCTCTACTAGCAGTGGGAAGGAGAAGGAAGAAATGGTGAAGCTCCATGAATTTTGCTGCTAGTGTCCCTGGTGAAAGGCTTATTACAGAAGGAGACTGACATGATAGATGGAGTAGCTTCCAAATCATTTGTGGGTCTCGTGGACCCATCTACTCCAAATCAGCGTAGGTAATTGAGAATAGGTAGTGGAACTCTGTATTTAGCTGTATACCTTCCAGTGTTTTATACCAAGGTAGGGATGTTTGGCTTCCAGAAAGGTATCCCAGCTGTGTTTTCTAAAGGATATTCACGCCTTGATAGTACCTCAACCGGAAGATGAGAGGGAACACGTTGACCGGCTTTTTGGATTGAAGAGGGAATCTGAAAATGTTCCCCAGATGCTTGGGACATGAACCCTTGCCCCACCTACCGCTGAAAGCCATGCTGTATAGGGCTGTCCTCGCCCAACACTCTTCTTATAGGAGGTTGTCCTGTACAAGGCAGCAGAGGGAAAGGCAGGAACTGAGGCCGTCAGACCAATGTGGGGAGATCAATATACAGTATACACAACTTTGCTGTTACCTTACACATGCCTTCTCTTGATCTTTACCTAACTCGGAACTCTGTGGGCTTCACTATATACCTGTGGAGTGTGAAAAGCATGGTTTTGGAGTCAGGCAGACCTGGGAATGCACCTGGCTCTGGCCTGTGGGACCTCAGATAGGTTATTTAAGCTCTCTGAATCTCAGTTATTCTGTAAACTGGGGCAACTGAGGGATAAGTCTAATAATCCAGTCAAGTGCCTTACTACAGTGTCTCATACTTAGCCTGTTCAGGAGGAACACTGGTGCCCTCCCCATTTTTCCCATAGTCCCTTGTGTTATTTGATAAAAGCAGAGGACTCCTTAAACACTGATCAGAAACCACACCAGTGACCGTAGGCAATGATACGGTTCATCTTCGAACTCTGTGAATTCTGATACTACGAATTCTATAAACTAGACGCCTCACTCGGGGCCCTTGAAAACCCACGTACTCCCTTCTTACCATCATATTTCATTGATGTTCATTAATATGCAAATTACGGGCCCCTTTGAGAAATGTATTGGCTTACATTTTATTTCAAGATGGTGGAGTAAACCACAAAACAAATGTAAGATGCACCTTGATAATACTCCAGCAATTTAAGAAATTTAGCTGAAATGTCAAATGCTTCCAAAGTTTTCGTGGAACACACCTATTAGAGAGTCGACGTAAAGCGGACCAACTCTAGAAATTTTTATCAATGACGAAGGAAAAAGGGAAGGAAACGCATTTATTCTATGTCTGACGTGATGCTATTTTCTTTTTTTTCTTTTTATTTATTTTTATTATTATTTTTTTTAATGTTTATTGACTTCTTGAGAGACAGAGACAGAGTGTGAGCAGGACAGGGGCAGAGATTGAGGGAGACACAGAATCTAAAGCAGGCTCCCGGCTCTTGAGTTGCCAGCACAGAGCCCGATGCGGGACTTGAACTCACAAACCTTGAAATCATGACCTGAGCCGACGTCGGATGCTTAACCGACTGAGCCACCCAAGCGCCCCTAACGTGATGCTATTTTCACACGTCATCCCACCTGTGAGTTACATGTGGTCCTTCCCACTCTAGAGGAGAGAACTGAGATTCAGAGCTGGCAAGTTTCTTGTCCAAGGTCACAGAGTCAGGAGAGGAGCTGGGTTTGAGCCTGTCTCCAAATTCAGTGCTTCGCTTACTGGACCATGTTGCCAGAGGGGTCCCACCAGCTCGACAAGATGGGATAGGTGGGGAAGTGAGGTACGGGCTTGTCCGGGTTCTCAGATCAGGCTGAGAAGGGCACCGCACCACCCACTGATGAGCCAGAACTTATCTGAGTTGAGGTCACGTCCAAGAAAGCATGTGTGTCATTCTTACGCGGGAGGTAAGGGCATAACCAGAGAATAAGCAATGTGGTGGGACCGAGGGAAATGAAGAGAAACAGTACAAGGAATGAGATGGACAATTAGTCAAATGGTTTAGGAGCAAAGTAGGCAAATGTGGAATAAACAGAATAATCCTTTCTCAAGGCCCCTGGTGTGCCACTGAGGTTGGGTTGGAAATGCTAGAAATGCCTGGCTGGGCTGGACAGTCGTCTGTAAACCTGGAATGTTCATTAGTCTCACCACCTAGCACCATCTGTTAGTTTGAGTAGCCATCCACTGCATGAGTGTGTTAAGTACCTACTATACGTGGGCGCTCTCGATGCTTGCCCACATAAGTTGCATAGACATGTTCTGTGCTGCAGGCTTGGGGTTTACCTGCCCAAGCGTGGTTGTATCTCCAGTAGGGAAGGTTCCATCTGTGGTGTCATGGGCTGTCAGAGTCCAAAGAGATCTGGGAGCTGATCTAGTTCCTTGCCTGTCAAAGCTCAGTCTGTGGCCCAGCAGCGGGGCATCCCCTTGGAGCTTGTTAGGAATGCGCAATCTCAGGCCCCACCCCAGACCCACAGAATGAGAGTCGGCGGGTCAGTCAGATCCCCAGGTCATTCCTGTGCCTGTGACGGTTTGAGAGCACAAATCTACTTGTTCTGAGCTTTTGCCTCCATCCTTCATCATAGCCCTCCCCCACCACCCCCCGCCCCGAGGCCTCTGTCCACATCAGGCCTTCACAGAGCTTGAGCAAGAAAACTGAGCAGCTTAGTTGGTTTCCAGCCTCTTGGCAGCCTTTTCTCTATGATCTCCAGCCTCAGCTTGTGCTGGGACATTGAGCTTTCCACGGTCTCATTTAAGCCTATTTTTGTGATTAAAGCCAAATTCCAGAACCAAAGCTCCTTGACCATATTCCATTAGAAAAATTAAAAAGGAATTGCACTGAACAGAAGCCTTCTGTTTGAGGACAGAGGGAGGAGCGGTGTGCACAGAGTGATGGATGGGGACGGGGGGTTGTCGGCCACTCAGCAGGCAGGTGGGAAGTTTGGGGTGGCTGGTGACCGGATTCTGCACACAGATGAGAGGTGGCTTCCGTCACACTCTGGGGTGATGCTTCTCTCACTGGAGGCTGCTCTGGGTAAACAGTTGTCAGGGGTAATGTAGCAAGAGTTGCAAGTGCCTGAGAAATTAATGTAGATAAAGTAGAAGACAGGCAACTGACCAAGGGAGAGGTTTATGGCACAGATTTCCCACCTGGAGGAGGCAGACGGGATGCCTTGCAGCCAGCTTCCTGAGTGTCAGTGGGCAGGCTGGGTAACCTTAGTGGAAAGTGGTGGGTGAATAGGGCCACACCGCTGTCTGAAAAGCTGCAACTTGACCCACACTGGGTTCTTGGCCATGGGCTGAACAGGCCAGTCAGCATAGAGAGAAGGAAAGTAGGAAGGCCCAAGTGCCCTGCATGAAGCCGGAACTCCCTCCTCTGCACGGAGGGTCCTCAGAACAAGCAGAGGGGAGAGCCACGCTCCTGCAGGGACCCCCACCACCTCTGTTTCTCTTCTCGTGATGTTAGGTGGGAAAACTGGTAAGGAGGTCTACTGGGGAAAGGAGCAGAGTGATGCCTGAGAGGGCACTCACGCCCTGTGTTCTGGGCTCTCCTGTGACCCCACAGGTTCGGTTTTCCGGGATGAGTTCGACCTGGCCATTCTCCAGCTGCAGGAGAACAACCGCCTAGAAATTCTGAAGCGTAAATGGTGGGAAGGCGGCAAGTGCCCCAAGGAGGAAGATCACAGAGCCAAAGGTGAGTGCGTTCAGCGGCTTCCCCCTCCTGTTCTAGAGGAGCGCTTGTCCCTTGTTTCTGGTGTCCGAAGTCCAGGTGATGATTGCTGGAACACACGGACAACAAGCCCTGCAAGGAATGGAGGGCTGGGCTGAGGGCCAGTCCTGGCCCAGAGTCTGGACTGGATGGAGGCATCCAGTGCCCATCGGCTCACTAGTCCCAGAGACCCCATCTTTACCATGCTTCCCGAGTGCATCCAGCTCCTACCCCGGCCCGTGCCCCCCTCACCTCTCCACCCTCGACTGCTGGTCTCCCTTTCCCATTCTTGCCCCTCGACAGCATCTTCTCCACCAGTAATCAGAGTGAGTCTTTTCATGATGCGAGGAAATCCCAGCATTCCCCTGCACAAACCTTCCCTTCTCAGAATAAAACACAAGCCTTCCGTGGCCGCCTCCTGGCCTCCCTGGGGAGGGTCCCCAAGAGAGGTCTTCCCTCCCCTCCCCACACATCCCTCCCATCACGTGAGCTCTGCTTTGGTTTTCTTTTCAGACCTCATCACTCCCTCATATTCTGTTCTCTATGCATTTCTTTGTTTACTGTCCACCTCTTCTACTCGAATGCAAATTTTGTGAGGACAAGGACTGTCTTCTTCATAGGGTGGTCCACAGGGCCTGGCAGGTGGATATTTGAATGAATGAATGAATGAATGAATGAATGAAGTTTAAATCACGCTGGATAGAAAGCAGTCGCTGACTGATATGTGTGGTTGAGGAGTTTGAGGGTCCCTGAGCATCCGGGATATTCTGTAGGGGGGTTGCCCAGGATAGTCCCATGCTACATCTGTTATAGATCAGTTAATGCCTATTAGTTATCTTTAGAACTCCCTTTAAGTCTCACAATGTCCTGGTTGGGGCAATAAATCCTATGGTCACCCTCGCAATCTCCTGCAGGCTTGCTAAAATATGCAACAAATTTACCTCTACACGCTGTCCCCCAGGAAGGCAGCTC